GAGCTTCGGCCGACTCCAAAAAAGCGCCGGCGATCCCGACAATTCGCGCGATGCTCGACGGAACATCGGGCGTACTTCGGCGATTTTTGAGGTCGCAGAGCTCGTTTCCAGCTCGCGCGTAGCTCGCACGTAGCTCGTCCCTGTACGGCCGAGAGTCGACCGATATTCGGGCGTACATTCCACGAGTCTCGGTCGTTCTTTGTCTTCGAAAATCGGGCGATGGTCGCTGAATACGGTCGACCCTCGCGCGAGCCTCGCGAAATGTTCGGACGACCCTCTTTCGTACCTCGCCCAACTTGCGCAAAGTTTTTAAAATCGTGCGTGCTTCGAGCGAGCTTCGTGCCAGTGTCGGACGAAGGTTCTACGAGCCTCGGACGAGCTCCTGTCAATTAATTGTCGAATCGATTGCTTACTGCATCACGACAAAGTCATAGTAACACATAGCTTTTCTCATCCTGCCTGTCAGTGTCCCTGTAAGAAACCAGGATTCCAATCCATGACGACATCCCCCACACAGCAAGTATCCACGGCTATGGTCTCACCAAGTACGGAGACTGCGTCAAACTATCCAGTGGTCTCGACGAGTAAGTTCATGAGTCCTACTGCAGTAAATACTGCTACTACAGGTCCCAGTACACCGTCACCTGTCACAACAGAATCTGCAAGCTCTGGCACTGGTAAGAAACTTCAGTATTACAGTTGGATGCTCCACTTTATCCACTTTATATTCATAAATTTATGTAGACTGGACTTATTTAGCAGTTACAACCTCCAGTCGAATCCTAATAACAGCTACTCGAAAACTTAAGGTAGTGACTGATATATCAGCATGAAAGTTCATCTGAGTTGGTAAATTACATTATGAAAAACTTAAACTGTTCTCCAACTCAAAATTTGACTCACCAGAAATTTTCGACTGAATCACTCAGTCTTCCTCAGCTATCTGACCCAAATGCTGTGGACACGTGATTTTTCCCACGTGTGACGTCAGCAAAGGGTCAAAAATTTCTGGTGAGTCAAATTTTGAGTTGGAGAACAGTTTAAGTTTTTCATAGTGGCTGATATAGTTGACCTGCTGATTGACGGACATCATTCGAGCGTTTACAAACTTTTTAGAACACTCACCTTTGCAGAGCTCCAGGTCCGTCTTGCTGGCGGCCCCACCCCGCTTGCAGGCCGAGTGGAGGTGCGGGACGGGACCGGTCCTTGGGGTTCCGTCTGTGATGACCGGTGGGACCTGCAGGACGCGCATGTCGTCTGCAGGCAGCTCGGCTTCGGGACGGCTCTGGGGGTGAAACTGGCGGGCCATTTTGGGGAGAGTTCTGGGAGCGTCTGGCTGGACGAGGTGGCCTGTGGGGGGAACGAGACGAACCTGGGAGACTGTCCTGCTGAGCCCTGGGGACAGAATGACTGTTCACACAAGGAGGACGCAGGAGTCGTCTGTGAAGGTAAGCTTGCTGCGTCAGCAGTTTGGTTCAATTAGGAAGATAAAAAGCCAATTTAACAGCTAACTGTAAAGAAGCAGGTTTTTTTTCAACCAACCAAAGTTTCATTGAATGGGTACCAACAGATTCCTCTCCTGTTTGGCCCTGTACTGAAGTTATAGTTAGTTTTCTGTCAACTAGAGCATTTGTCATTTTGTCGTGCCGGTAGGAGGAGGGTCCCTGCGGCTCGTCGGCGGCCTGGCGCCTTGGGAAGGGCGGCTGGAGGTCCGTCCGTGGCAGGCGGCAGAGTGGGGAACCGTGTGCAGCGCCGGCTGGACGGAGGCCGAGACTGAGTTCGCCTGCAGACGGCTGGGTTATACCGGGGGAGCTAACGCCAGCCTGGCAGCCTTTGGGGAAGGGACAGGCCGGATCTGGCTTGGTGACGTCACATGTGGTGGAGACGAGGCAAGCCTCACATCCTGTGGCTTCACCTGGGAGCCTTCCGACTGTGATCATCGCCAGGATGTAGCACTTGTCTGTACAGGTAGGGTTTACCGATTTGGCGACTACTACTGTCATTTAAGTCCAGATTATAGGGCAAAAATCATTTGGAACACTAGAGAAGTTACATTTACAAAGCAAATGCAAAATGTTTACCTTTGGACATGATCCGCTCTGTTAATTCTTACTCAAACACATTCACATACAATTATGTACTACTAGTATATGGTGACAGGAGCAGAGCAGACCATGAAATTGCAACATAATGTAACCCAACTCCAGTCACCATGGTGACAGACGTCAACATATCATGTCATTGGTCAGGTCACAAGTCACTGTTTGGAGCAGAAGAAGAGGAAGAAACTGAGCAAAAACAATATGTTTTCCTTCGGTAAACATAAAAAGAGACAACCATAATTGCAGTAAATGTCAAGTAAAATGTCACTATTAGGCCATGTTGATTTGATTATATGGATGACATCCTCCGGGAACCCCAAAATTGATGCGCCCGTGCGAATAAAAAAAAAAAGTTTTGCAAAAAAAAAGTTGTTTCCACTATGAAATCTGCGTGGTCATGAGGGTTGAACAAATGGGACGGAATATGGTTTGGCGAAAAATCTAGTCTTCAAGTTCATTTCTTTACAATTTCGTCTTTTTCGGTTTGATTTTGGCATTCTACGACATTGGTATGTTTTTTTTGTAACTTACGGTATATTTTTGCTCATTTTGCAACTGTTTTGTACGATTTACAGTATGGTTGAAAACTTTTTTTTTTGAAACGACCGAAAATTCATGCGCGCGCGGATGTCATCCATGTAATCAAATCAACATGGCCTTAGTACTATCACCTAAGAATACTGGGGGGAAGCTGAACGACTTTCTGGCTTCAAATTAAAGCCAATAGATGACGCCCTTCGTCAAGTATTGTCGTCTTACGTCACAGGTGGCTTGTCTGTCCGGCTTACCGGAAGCCGTAGCCCGTTACAAGGCCGCGTGGAAGTCCGGCCCGGTTATCTGGACTGGGGGACGGTCTGTGACGGGTTTGACGACTTGGACGCTCAGGTGGTCTGTAGACAGCTCGGGCATCGTGCGGGAGTCGCCACGGTGGGAGGAGACTTCGGCGAAGGGACGGGAGACATCTGGTTAAAGAGTGTCGACTGCATCGGGGTAGAATCCTCCATAGGTGACTGTCAGGTCCTAAGTGGGAGTAGTGACGACTGCAGTCACAGCCAAGACGCCGGCGTCATCTGCACAGGTACGACGTCTATACCTGTTACACATGCAATAACGCGGATTGTGTCACTGACATATGGCCGTGTTTATGTGAAGTCACCCAAACCGCGATTCGGGTATAACTTACATTCCTCACATCTTGAAACCGTGTCCGATCACAATTCGCCTGAGCTACATTTATTGTTGTTTGATGAAAACACGCAAGGTAGCGTGTTATTAATGTCAGAGGTCAACGACCTGCTTGCTGATGCCCCCTCCCAGCGTATCTCGGCCGAATGCCAACGTGGTCCCACCAGAGGCGGTGAAGCTCGTCCTAGAACGGACACTTTATTTGACCATTACTGCTCTTTAAGTTGCTGCCACGTCAAAGTTGGTATTGCATATAAATAAAGAAATATCACCCCGTAATCCATGACCAGGCGAAGTTACATTGAAATCACATTGCGTTCAGACGCAAATCGCGATGCGGGAAAACCGATTCGAAACCACCTCACCATTCGAGGCGCTTTTAATGTGATTTCGGAGCGTTCAGATGGAGCCACTTGAAACCGGCTTCGAGGTAAACCACCTGTAAAGCGCCTTGGATGACTTCACATAAACACGGCCTAGTTAATCACACACGTGCACAACTACCACAGGTATGAAGTCTACACAAAGTCGTCATTCGTACAGATGCCGCGGGAGGACTTCCTTACCATGTGCAATATGATGTTTTTTTTACTGCAATCGCTTTTTAAACCGCGGGGCCATCTTTATTTTCAAAAGCGGAACAAAGTCGTAAGTAGCAGTGGTAATATAAAAGAAGGCAAAGTCTGTTAGATTTCTTGATATGCTTTTGCAAACGAAACAGTCCATTGGTATATATCACACAAATACATGTACTTGGGTTACTTGACAACTGTAACTATGTGATACATATGGACATAAAGGCACAAGGAGAATGAGGAGTTGTCGCATACTGATTATTTGAATTTTTCTGATGCCGGAAGAAAATTTCCTGCCTAAAATCATAAGAATAAAAAAAATCATGAAGATGCAATTATCGATGAAATCATATAATTTTTCAGGCGACGTGTCCGCCCGACTTATTGGAGGCCAAACTCTATCAGAAGGTCGTTTGGAAGTCCGGCCCGGAAACGGTGACTGGGGGACGGTCTGTGATGACGGGTTTGACGACAGGGACGCTCAGGTGGTCTGTAGACAGCTCGGGTATCGTGGGGGAGTCGCCACGGTGGGAGGAGTTTATCCAGAAGGTACGGGAGACATCTGGCTGGAAGATCTCTACTGCGATGGAAACGAGTCTTCTGTGGCGGACTGTGGAATCACCAAGTGGGGAGACCATGACTGTAGCCACAAGGAAGACGCGGGAGTCATCTGCACAGGTACGATGCAAACTTATTGTGCGCAACTTATTGCCTCCGGGGGAGGAGACATCCTTCCGCGGAAGGGTTTTGTGAGAGATTTAGATTTTCATGTTTGCAGCTGTTTCTCGCGTTTGGGTGGACGGATTCTTTTGAGACTCGGTATATGTTTTGCTATTGGGCTGCAGATAATGCACGTTCTTTTGTTTTTATTGTATGTGTTTTTTCGGGCGTGAAAATGGTGCCTTTTGGTGGCCCCAGAACACCCCTTTGAGCGTGAAAGTGGTCACGACCGTTGACATTTGGCGTGTATTAGGTATTGTCGGTCTCGTCCACGAAGGTGACCCCTCGCACAGAGGGGTGTCCGGTCTCGATAACTTCTTTGTTTAAAATCCTAGTCCTGCGGCGCGCAACAATTGTTGTTGTAAACAACATATAGAAATACACAATAAAAGGCCCGGAGGTATAAAATCTCAGATTTTACTTGTTATCACTAGTAATACAGGCCTTACCTAAAAAAAGACATGCTGGCAAAAGTATTCCCTCTCTCCGCATCATCAAACCAAACTGCCCTTCTGTTGTTTATCACCACACAGCGTCAAACTGCGTGAATCTCTATGCGGCAGGACAGACTACAAGCGGAGTCTACAACATTAGAATCAACTCCTCTGACGTAGATGCCTACTGTGACATGGATACCGCAGGTATTGTTAGGAAGGGGAGAGGTCGACATCTGTCACGTATATGACGGATATCATGTTTCAAACTTTCAATTACTTTCTTTTACTTCAGATATTTCATTTATCACCTCCATGAAAAGGTATTTATTGTTTTTGGCGCGTCTGTGTGTGTGTGTGTATGTGTGTGTGTGTTTCCGCACATTTGTAGTCAGCATAACTTCAGAACGCCTTTATGGATTGTGATGATATTTGGTATGCTGGTAGGTCTTAGGAAGCCAAAGGTCAAGGTCAAATATGGGCTTCCTGGTGGCTGACCTTGGTACTGCAGCAGAACTTCCGGGAAAACAGAGGAAAACAATAGCCGGGAAAACAGATGTGCGGGGTGGCAGGGAAAACAGATGTGCGGGGTGGCAGGGAGAACAGATGTCCGATGACTCGGGGGAACAGAGGCAGCGCCTGCCTGCTTTTGATTAATGAGGTTCTCCCACGGGAACTTGTTCTGGAGCTCCAGGGGACTTTCTGGCGGAATCTTTAAAAGCCAATAAGTCCAGATAGGAACAGCGTATTTTCATCATTTTTGGTGTGTAGGTAGATAAGAGAGAGTTGTACATAATTAAATGTACATGCAATTGTGCAAATGAGGACTTAATTTGCATAATTAATGAGGAAATTCTATAATTACAATTATAATGGTACTTTTATACATGTAATCTATTCAATCTGTGGCAGGTGGAACATTAACAGATACCAATTATGCAAATGATGACATAATTTGCATAATTTATGTGAAAACTCTGTGACTCCTTATTGGTGAATGATGGGAATTTTATACCTTGTGACATGTGTAAGTTACTTAAAGGTTGACACAACCATGCATATATTATGTTAATGTAGAGGTAATTTGCATAATTAACGAGGACATGTTGAAATGAAGTATGATAAAGGAGAGGAATTTTACACAAAAAATAGTCATTTGAATTTAGAGAATCATAAATTAAACTAGATTATGCTAATTACGACCTTATTTCCGTAGTCAATGAGACAAAAACATTTACAAAAACCCATATATTTCATGGAGGTATGAGATCTAAGAATTCTTGTTTGTATCTGACTCGGGTAGGAAAGTAAGACGAAAACGCTGGTCAGTTGTTTTAAATGGGATTTTCTCAAGTTGGTAAATCGCGTTTTATTGTCAAGATATATGACTGAAGCAATAGTAAATTGTTTTCTTCCAACAGGAGGCGGATGGACTGTTATACAGCGACGAGTGGACGGGTCGGTTCCCTTCAACCGGAACTGGGAGGAGTACAAGCATGGGTTTGGGAACAAGAGTGGGGAATACTGGCTTGGGAACGAGAACATCCACCTCCTGACCAATCAGACTGCCTACACCCTCAGGGTGGACATGCAGAGTTGGGACGGACAAACCCGGTACGCAGAATACTCCAGCTTCAGGTGAGTAAAAGACTTTTAGGTTAATTACATGTATTTGCAACTTAATGCATTTAATTAAGTGAAGTTTGCCGGTACTTCTTCATGCAATGTGGGCATTTTATTGCAATATAGACAATATAGTAATTTATGCGGTGTGTGTGTGTGTGTGTGTGTGTGTGTGTGTGTGTGTGTGTGTGTGTGTGTGTAGCCATGTGCGAATGTGTGACCAAAAAAAAGATACGAACGTAATTGCCATTTACAGGATCGAAGTGTGTTTTTTTAGTTTGTTAAATGTCCCCGTCCAGGGTGTCCGGTGAGTCGGACCAGTACCGGCTGCACATTTCCGGGTATTCAGGCACCGCGGGAGATGACATGAGTTTAAACAACGGGCAGATGTTCTCCACTGTGGACCGGGATAATGCTAACTGGGACAGGCACTGCTCTCAGGAGTACGGACAGGCCGGCTGGTGGTTTGGGGGCTGCAGCTACGCCTTCCTCAACGGTCGCTACCTGGGCGACTGTGGGTACTACCGCTGTTCATACAAGCAAGGTGTGGTGTGGGACCACTGGAGAGGCGGGCATTACTCCCTGAAGTCTGTGTCTATGAAGATCAGGCCATAACCGACCTGCGTACGCCGGTATGGCACTACCCGTGCTATGTGATGTCTTGGCACTTTCAATATAGATATAGTTATTACCTTCGCCAAGAAAGTTATGTTTTCGTTGGCGTTCGTGTGTCTGCGTGTCTGTGTGTGTGTGTGTGTGTCTGTGTGTGTGTCTGTGTAACACAATAACTCAAGAAGGCTAAGATGGGTTGCCTTTATATTTGGTAGGTGGGTAGGTCTTGATGAGACCTGGAACTGATTAGATTTTGGACTCTCTATCGCGGCTTGTCATTGTACTGCAGCTAAATTTCCGGTTTGGATATCTCGTGATCTGTACATGGTAGGGTCACTAGATTTGGGTGGTAGGTAGCTCTTTGGCTGGGGAAGAAGTGACATGAGTTTGGACTCCTAGTGGCTTGTTCTGGAACTGCAGAAGCATTCGTTGAAAAATATTCGAAGGAAGATAACTCAAGAACCGATTGACGGATCATCATGATTTTTGGAATGTGGGTACCTTAAAGAATGCTTGACATATTGAAATAATAGTTCTGCAAATCAGCAGCTAATTGGCATAATTAATAAGGAAATGCTATAAGTCAGCTGCCTTCCATGATATGATTATTCAAACGTGTTGCATGTGTAATTGTGAAGAAGAACATTGGCAGATAGTGTTTATGCAAATGAATGGCTGATTTGCATAATTATTGCGAATCATCATCAAGGCCCAAAGGTAACATCGTTTGGCGAAGGTATGACATCGTCGAACTCTTGTATATGACTAAGATTAAAAACATAATCTCTGTAATATTGCCTATCTGATTATATCCAATTAGCAAGCATCAGAATAACAATCACGCCTATAACAGCACATTGCCTGTTCTTCCCACGTGATATCTGTTGGTATTTCCTATGGGTTCATAAATCACAACATTGAATTTGTAGTAGGAGTTCATGTATTTCATGTATGTTATTTAAGTTACTTTGATTTTGTATTAATTTGGTATAATTAAGACTGATTTGATTTTGATTTTAATGGCTTTTGCATGGGGTTTTCCCCCAGGAAACATTAATTGAAAAGCGCCCTCGGGCGATATGTATCTCCTGTTTAAAGAAATAAAACAAAGAAACAAGCAAACAATTAAAAATCTGTAATATATATCTCATTCTATCCTTGAAGAGATTCATTTGCCATCGAAAATTTGGAGGTTAGTATCCTTATCCTTCCAAAGTTGTCACTGATGAAAGAATTCACTAGGAACTCATTATATCCATTTTTCAAATGATAACAGTTCCCCCTGGTTGGCAAATAAAACTTTACCAGGTGTTTCCTAATCGCGTACGATGTAACATTAGACCATGCCATCATTCAAGCTAGCATCATCGCTATCTGGGCAAGCTAGCATGCCTGCATGGAACAAGCGTTTGTAAGATTTTACTGGTATGTTCTATTCTATTTTATTTTAACCTTTAATTCGCTGCTTAAAATACATAAACATATTTGTTGTCACTAATCTAAAGGCACCGCTTGCTATTGAATTTGTATTTGTATCTATTGGCACTGAAACATGTCAAAGAATAAGTAAATCAGATTCTAAGATAAAATACAAATCCTGTATTGAATGGAATAAATGAATCATTACAATATACGCTGTAGGACAGTAGTATACATATTGGAGTACAAAAAGCTGCAAGTAATCTTTTTTGAAAAGTTAAGAAAACCGGATGCATTTTTCAAAGCAAGTAACTAAACTGTGTTCAATACTTAAATGGCAACGCATTAGATTTCCGGTATTGCATGTAATATCTCTTTTGCAGTGTATTGTAACAACATGTTTTTAATTAAAACAAATAAAACTTTATCCTTTCTTTTGAATACTTATTGGTAGATCTTTGTAAAATCTAACATAATGTTACGAAAATCTTATTATTTTTCCAAAGCAAGTAACTAAGTCGTGTTCAATAATTTAATACTTAAACGACAACTTATTTATTAGATTAATTACCCAAGCCTACACTTAGGCTTTATGGTTTTATACTAGAGTACGAATTTATCATGACCACATCACCCGGGTTCTAGCAACCCTCCCACTGGTCAGGTCCCTAGAAACCTAATACAGCAATCGGAGATTGGGTACCAAGTGTTGATTCAAAAGTATAAAGGCCTCACTGACGTGATTTTATGGACAGAATGAACTTTATTGCTCTACAATCGTACATAGTACAATCTATGGCAGTAAAACAACAATAATGCAAAACTCAACTTTTTGCAAGTAAAACTACAAACTATTATCTGAAGATAACATCCTCTGGACACGCAGTCTGTAGCATCGTTGCAAATCATAGCTCAGTGTAGCTGAAAAGGGCGCATTTTTTCTTTGTATTTGAAATCAAAGCTATAAAATGCACAAGTAACAGATCCTTCCATTTATCCATTACATTCGTGGGGCAGTAGTGGGTTTGTCGCACAGTTGTCGTTTATGTGACTTTCCCTGAAATGCAAAATACCGTACATCTTATTCTTCCTCTACCAAACAAAAAAGCAACAAGATTTGATATTCATTACTAAAGATAACGGAAGAAGCTGATTGGTGCGTTTTAGACCAATCGCAAGCCCTTGTGGAAGACAACTGTTACGTCACAGCTATGTCATTGCATCACAGTTATGTCACATAATTTATTGTTGTTGAAAACGGCTAGACAGAGTGGGCTCTGATAACGGAAGAAGTTGAATGGTGTGGTTTAAATGGAGCTCTAATAGAGCTTAGTGGTCAGGAAGGCGTTATTTAATTTGCATGCAGACAATGCCAAGGTTATACATCACACTTGTCACTTTATCAGTTATTGTTGAAAAGGCAAGAGGGGTGGTGGGGGGTGCCGATTACGGAAAAAAGTTGATCGGTGCTTTTGAATAAATTATTGGATGACCTTTATTGTATATTTATGCTCGCACATGCTGAGTACAGGTCATGGGGACAAATTCTTATGTACAATACTTAGTAACAGTGATACAATTCTGGCATCTACATCTACAGTGGTTAATGTATACTCCTATGTACAGGTTCAACTTCTCACTTTTAAGTGTAAGAACAGAAGATCTTATGATACATGGTTTATCAAGTTGCATTAGGAATATTTACATTAGCTCCTGTTGATGTAGAAAGATGCAAGACTTGAATCACTGGTTTTGTACATATACATAAATTTATCACCAGCTGTACCTGCGAAAATAAAAAAAAAGGAAATTCTTGTATTTGAAGCCAAAACTATAAAATGCAGGACTAACTATCTGTTAGTCCTACATTTTATAGTTTTGGCTTCAAATACAAAAAAATGCGTCCCTTACATTTACGGCAATGATTTGTGACGTCGCTGCAGACTTTGAGAACAAAACGACACAATGAGTAACTATATGTCCAGAGGACGTCATTGTTCGGTAATAGATTGTAGTTATACTTGCTGTAAATAGCTCAGTTTTCTGTCGTTGTTGCTTTACTGCCATACATGTACATGTATGATTGTCGAGCAACAAATTTCATTTATCCTATTTATTATATCCATAAAGTCACGTCAGTGAGACCTTTATACTTTTGAATCAACACCTAGCCTGTATTGGGTTTCTAGGGATCTGACCAGTGGAAGGGTTGCTAAAAGTTGAGTGAGGTAGTCAGGATGAATTTGTTTCAAAGGAATTGAATGTATGTTTTGTTTTTAGTATCAGTAAGTACGCTTATCAGTGGCATTATCGCATGTAAGTGCAGAAATTTCCCTTCACACTGAAATTGCTGAGACAAAAAAAGAGAAAGAATAGGGCAATGGCATCACTTCTATCATTCTTACTTCTAATCCTGACCTGTGATATTTATGGCTTCACCACTATGTGGTGAAGTCATGTTGTTTTTCCTGATGTTTCTTCTTCTTCTCCTTCTTCTCCTGCCATTTCTTTAAATTGATTCAACTCCTTCATTTTTGGGCCAAATAACATGAAATTTGGCATGGAGGTAGAGTAGCCAAATACCCCCAGACGTTTTTTTTTCTCATTTTTTCGATACAGGCATTTATTTGGGTTTTTGGGCCATTTTTTTGACAAAATCTGTACATTTAGGGTCCTGGAGACCTGGTATTACACTAAAATCATCTGAAATTTGGTCTAGGTATGTTTTATATATCTACCAACAGCAATTCATTATAATTTTTGGCATACTCTCCCTTAAACTTGTATAATTTGGGACTTTTTGACTGTTCTCTATGCCGAATAGTGAAGTTTACTTACCTTATAGCAATGACTCATCAGTAAGGAATGCAGAGGGCAACAGCCAATAGGCATGAAGCTTTCAAGATGGTAGGGCAGTTGTAATCTTGTTGCTGCTTGGGTGCTGGACTAATTGGATTAATACTAGTACATTATATTGAATACCTGCTCAGGCTATATAGCATATTGACAGCTGAACTGCATTTATTGTTTTCAGTACGTTTTACGCTGGCATAAAAAAAAGATACCAGTAACTCCAGTAACCAGACGTTGTACAAAAAGAAAGCCAGGTGAAAAAAACCTGCGGCTTAGAGAGAAATACAGACCCTCTCAACATAACATAAGAGATTACAAGAAGAACACATAAAAACTTGACAACAAAATTCTACAACACTGTGCGAGGTCCATTGGAATGCAGATCAAGAACACCAGCATGACAGTCAGTACCTGCCTGCTTCATTGATACACGATGTAGTGAGTGAAAACGTCCTATACATTTGTACATATCATTTGTTACCAAGATGGCGGCATTTGTGACAGCCTCGTTTGTGGTCTGCACGGGTCCGTTCCACATGTACAACTTCATCCGAGCAGTATCAGACATACACATATCTGAGTATGTAGGTAACTAACGATAGTGTACCATTAATGAAGGTTTATGAACATTTTGACATAACAGGTGACTATCACCTCTTCAAGATGACAAACCTGAGAATAGACTGCAAGGTTTGAACCACCCACACCGGGGTCTCCTGCTCTTTTCAATAAGTGTGGTGGGATCTTAAACGTGCTCAAGATGTGGCTCTTTGTATACATGGGACCTCCCTAACCGAAGCTAGGTACTCATTTACCCCTGAGTGAAGTGAGCAAAAGGTGCCTTTCTCAAAGGCACAACAGTGGGACCTGTCAGGGATTCGAACCCAAAACCTTCAGATTCTGAATCAACAACCCTAACCACAAGCTGCTGATGTACAGTAGCATTTGCAGATGTATGGTTGACATAAATCTGTCTCTATGTTCTTAATTTCTTACGAGATGCACACAGAAGTACTGTACTATAAAATGATACAATTCTCATGCTCTAGCACGATAAAACGACTGTCACAGTAACACGTGACAGCACATACGGCGCAATGAAACCTTACAAAAGTCACACTAACATTTGGTTGTTTCCTTCCGTCAGGGATGTGGGCCAAGCCGCTGTTCTTTGGGAACAGTGCCCTGGACCCCGTCATCTACGCACTCATGGGGACCAACTTTCAGGACTGCCTCAAACAGCTCTTTTGTCCGCGGCGCTATTTTCCGTCTCGTAAACGGTCGATACCATTGGAAACGGTCGATGCCATTTTGCTGAATGGTCAATGTCATATCCGAGCGTCCAACAACGACTAAAAAGTAATATATACTATAAAAGCAATATTCTAATTGCAAATATAAGGGAGGGTTATGTAGAATTGTAAATATTAGTGAAAAAAAAAAGCACAAGCTCGGATGCGAACCCGGGTCCAAAAGTGTAACTCCAAAACCCTCACCCTAACTTATACCATAACCTCTACGCAACGAAACATCACGGTGTGGATGGACAGTGCTCATACACTTAAAGTTAGCCGTTCTGCGATATGGCATCGACCGTTTCCAATGGCATCGACCGTTTCCAATGGCATCGGCCGTTTACGAGACGGAAAATAGCGTCGGCGGCCTCCGCCAAAGGGCCGCCCAAATGAAAGCGTCAACGAGCAAAGTTCATTTTACGCGATGGATGTAATCGAGTGATGTGCAGAAGTAGGTTGACTATCCAGTATCTCACACATGTACATATAGAAGATCCAATACCACTGAGTATTATCTCATGTATCTGTAATACGTAGCTATACGGAAAACGTAATAATATTTTGTAAATATCCATCATTCGCTGTTATTATCATATAACGTCCCATGATTACAACATTAGAAATAATCATACTATGACCATGAAATTACAAACTACGCAACGATTGCATAATAACCTGACTCTCTTCTATGTACATGGTTCAAAATATCATACTAACTGGTTCAAAATACTAAAAAATCAAAATATCACTGCATGAAAATTCTGTAATCTTAAGATGAAGAAGAATCTTTGAAGGACGCATTGTTGCTGTTTGTGCTTTGGCATGTTTTAGTTACTGCTTGCATTGAAACAACTCTTAATATCACAATCACTTCAATTTGACATCACCGTGCAGGTCATATGTACAGCTTTAAATACAAATAGGCCACACCGATTTAATTTTATGGATGACATCCTCTGAAGACCCCCAAACTAGTGCGCGCGGGCGAATAAAAAAAAGTTCCGGCCAAAAATAAAAATGCTACTAAACCACAGGAATACATAGCTGGTATTGTGAATTTGCGACAGTACTTAGCGATGTATACGGCAAGCCGGCACATGCTGGCTTTTTGCGGCATTTATGAATCGGTACTGTACTTATGTACGGAGTTCTTGAGTCGCGGAGCTTCGAATTCGATAGCCTGAGTACTCGGCTCCGTTTTGTCGCTGACTACCATGGACTAACCAGGCCTGAACCAGGCCTAAATCTAGGCCAGAGCCTCGGTGGAGGTGATCTTTTTTTTTTTTTTTTGAGGGCGACAGGCCAAAATCAATGCGCGCGCGGATGTCATCCATAAAATTAAGTCGGTGTGGCCTTACCACAGATAAACTCCAGATCAGGCTTTAGAAGGATTAAAAACAGCATTCTGTGCAGACTAACGCCTGATAAGGCTACACCAATTTAATTTGTTGTTTCTCGGATTCGCCCTGTCCATTTTTTCTGATTTGTAAAAAAAAAAAAAAATTAGGTTCTGAATCAACTGCAAAATGCTCAATGAAAGACATATTTTGGCCCCAACAGTTGAAGAAAGTCCTTTTCTTCCTAGTTGTTAAAAAGTTTTTCAATGTAACAATGCAACTTCATTGCATTAAAAGTTTAAAATCTATTGCGTTAATTATAAACCAGCCTGGTATGTTGACTTCATGCCTCATATCATAACATTTCCGGTCTTCATGCATGGGGTGCCTTAGCCTGTTTGTTTTTTTTTTATTTCGCCCTGTCGCTTCATGAAAAAATTAAAAAAAATCCGAAAAACAACCAATCAAATTGGTGTGGCCTAAAGAAAAATGTCAGCTGTCAGAAAAACGACAGCTCTGTGGACGTGTCTATTGAATCAAAGTTTCTCACACATAAACGCAGTGAAGAAACAAGTAAAATCTGAGATTTTATACCTCCGGGCTTGTATATTTTTATATAGGGTTTTAAACAAAGAATTTATAGAGACCGGACACCTCTCTGTGCGAGGGGTCACCTTCGTGGACGAGACCGACAATACCTAATAGACGCCAAAGGTCAACGGTCGCGACCACTTTCACGCTCAAAGGGGTGTTCTGGGGCCACCAAAAGGCACCATTTTCACGCCCGAAAACACACATACAATAAAAACAAAAGAGCGTGCATCATCTGCAGCCCAATAGCAAGCCATATACCGAGTCTCAAAAGAATCCGTTCACCCAAACGCGAGAAACAGCTGCGAACGTGAAAATCTACATCTCCCACAAAACCCTTCCGCGGAAGGATGTCTCCTCCCCCGGAGGTAATAAAATTTCCAAGAAGTTTGATCTTCAGATCATGAACCCGTGGTCCTGATGTTCACTGGAAACTTGTTTCATATTTGCTGGCATCGTATATACTACTCTCGTAGTAGCTGGGCGAAAAGTTCGTCTCGATAACTTTTGCTCGGGGAATTTTTGTCGCTGTGTAGTATTTTGCCTCGTATTGTTCTCGTACTGACACCCGTCTGAAAAACCCGCACTGTGGAAAGAATAACATATGCAAGTGTTAAAGTGACAATAGTAGTCTTAAACGTTCATAGAAAAGGGATAAATTCATTGAAGTATTATCATGTAAAAAAATTAGCACTCTTGTACACTGTTTTAATGACATTCGACTTAAAAAAGGCATTGAAAGAAGGGGAAAATCGTAATGATTTTAAGGATTACCATATAAAAATAGCTATAAAAAGAAAATGAAATTTCACTGTTCCCATACCTACCTTCCACAGACACAAAGCTATGAGTAAGAGTAGTAACAGCCCCAGTAGTATTCCTAACAGTATCGTCCAGACTTCCACTTGTTCTGCCAGACTCACCGGCCTTGTTTCTGGTAAGGCTTTCGTTACTACCTGAAAATAGACAAAATACTGCCATGAAAGTTCATCTGTGTTGGTAGTTATCATTACATGTTTAAAGTTAAAACTTTTGTTCCAACAAAAATTCTCACCTAGACCTTCCACTAGTCATTCTGGTCTTCTTCAATAGACTGACCCAGTGACACTGACCCAGTGTTGGCGTCACACCTCAGAGAAGTCACGTGACAAGTCTCACTGGGTCAGTCTATTGAAGAAGACCAGAGTGACCGGTGGAAAGTTCTAGGCAGTGAGACCAATTCTTTGTAATGGAACAAAAAACAAAACAATTATCATAAGACACAGCATCTGTGATGACCAATGTCTATATACCTTGTACTGCCAAAGATCGGTCTAGTCTCTAATACAATGGGTATGGGAATACATATATGTAGAACTACATCATCATCGTATAGGTGTATACCGTGACTATACGTGTGTGTGACGTACTTACCGTTGCCTTGTCGTTAAAGCTTCTGGACTGTTCCATGTTCTCAAAGTTCTTCACAAGTTCCACTTCAGCGTGGGACAAGATGTCCACATGACTTACTAATGGATATTCCTGTAAAAGCACAACACACAACTTTATTATCAATGTACAATTTCAAGTGTAAATCATGCTTCATATGAAATGTCTGCAACCCATCAACTATCTTGTATTTACTCCTATATAACCTTCTGTCGACACAATTATTACCTAAAAGTGATTGTTAGTCTATGCATGGAGGTAGCTCCATGGTCTATGTAACTTAGTTTGGCCAGTGATGAAACAAATGGCTGGACCATATTTACTGAAGTCCGAAGACTGGACTGTACCTGAGTAAAGGTGGTGTTCCACAACCTCGCTTCCACGGTGATGACCACTGACCGGTTGACCAGCAGTGTGTCCAGTGTGCAGTTGAACTCGAAACAACGCGCTGTGCCGGACATGCAGTCCTATCGCAGAACGACAGGGGGCGTGACACCGAGTAGTTTGCATTGATCGTGATCAACATTTAGTAATCAGACACACATCAACAAAAGGTAGAACTTTATAATCAAACGATTACATAATTACATAACTCTTAGTCCTTCCATCTATTCCTATAACATTGTAAATATTGAATATTATATACTTGAATGACCTCTGGCCTCCTACCATACTGATTTATATTGTTACTTTTTTGTATATACTGTCATTAGCCTAGGTTATGGATTGTAGGGTATGAGAAATTTCTGTGATTCGTTACTTTATTGTGTTATGATGTGTGTATGATTATGTACGTATGTATTTCACAATGTGGGGCCCGACATCAGCTCAGCTGCCAGGGCTTCCACTGTATTGCACTGTATTGTTGGCAATATAAATAAATAAAATAAATAAATAAATAAATAAATAAATAAATAAATAAATAAATAAATAAATAAATAAATAAATAAATAAATAAATAAATAAATAAATAAATAAATAAATAAATAAATAAATAAATAAATAAATAAATAAAAATGAATAATCAAACCACTTACCAAAGTGACTACTCCGTCTAGCTGCTGTTCTTTATACGAATCTGGACTTGCTTCACCGGACTCTTCCTCAAAGTAATCTTCCTCTTCAAAGTCCTCGTCGAAGTCTTCCTCGTCGAAGTCGTCTTCCAAACTGCGCGGCTCCCTGGCTGCAGCCTTCTTCCTGAGTGTCCTGGACACGTGCACGCGCCATCTGGTGCGGTCTATCGTCCCTTGTCGCGGGGCGGTCAGGAGATTTGGTCTGCGGCCAGGCTTTGGGACAGGAAGATAACATTTTTATTCGAATAAAGAAATTGGTTTGATTCATTTGATATCAGGCACATGCAGGCATTTTTCTTTTTCAATATTCAAATGTGTAGAGAATAAATACGTACCTTTAGCTTCAGGAAGTTCCTATGCTCCTCTGGTGGGAAACATCGCCCGCGACCAACCAGCTGCATGTAGAGGAAACACAGTTAACACTCAGCTCGGAATTTCAGTAAGAACTACAGAAGTTTGACTGTAATGTCAGTGTTCATCATTACCTCCGGGGGAGGAGACATCCTTCCGCGGAAGGGTTTTGTGAGAGATTTAGATTTTCATGTTCGCAGCTGTTTCTCGCGTTTGGGTAGACGGATTCTTTTGACACTCGGTATATGTTTTGCTATTGGGCTGCAGATGATGCAAGTTTTTTGTTTTTATTGTATATGTGTTTTCGGGCGTGAAAATGGTGCCTTTTGGTGCCCCCAAAACACCCCTTTGAGCGAGAAAGTGGTCGCGACCGTTGACCTTTGGCGTGTTTAAGCTATTCTCGGTCTGGTCCACGTATATGACCCCTCACACAGAGGGGTGTCCGGTCTCGATAAATTCTTTGTTTAAAACCCTAATAGTATATAAAAATATACAATAAAAGCCCGGAGGTATAAAATCTCAGATTTTACTTGTTTGATCTTGTATCATGATTCATGACTTTCACCCACTCGACTGCATATCTTACACTTACACAAACCTGAACACACACGCACAATGCCCTATTCACGTACCTTAACATCTGTCATATACAATAGCAGCTTGCCGTTGGGGTGAAGATGAGTGTTCTGTATCTCATACGGCCACATGATCCTGACTACAGCGCCAGGGGCTGTGCCTCTGCCGTGGTTACGTATCTGACGGAAACACGGAAATAACATTAAAACACATATTATATTATACAAATGAAAATGTAATTGTATAATACTTATGATCTGAAGTAATGAAGCACAAAGGTCGCAGACTTTTGGCGCCCCCTAGCGTAATCACTTGGAGCAAATTGTGCATCGGCAAAAAACGCCTCTTCAGTTCCAACGCAAGCTGCTAGAGGCACCAAATTTACGTCACTCCTTCCTTACTTTAACAGCTTTTTACCACATAAAATCATGACTCTTGCATGTTTAGAACAGGAGATACAAAGACCGGAAGGCAGTACCAAAACGCGCCGCTAGGGGGCGCCAAAAGTCAAATCAAGTGACCCGCGTACTTTTTCAAAATAGTAATGTCTCATGAGTATTTGTACCAAGTTTGGTGCTTGTATCACAATTTGATAGATTCCTCCAAAATTTGATGTTATCTGCTCCACTATTTAACAAAATGTTGTACATGCAGAAGACGCCTGGTCTACCGACCCACCGACGACAGAACGCACCACGTACGTATGGTTGACCGCAGTACCGATCTGTGCCTGGTACTCCATGGCGCTCAGTCCGCGCTGGTCTCCGCCGTACAGCACCTGGCGGGGATGGGAGATACTGCAGGGGGAGGGGCAAAAACGTCAAACTTGTGTTTTTTGTTACAATGTACTCTGAAAGACAATGGCTGTGATACCGATGATGATCCTATGAGTAAAATAGTCCCTTACACACCTGACATCAGGTGGAAGATTTAATTGGTAGGCCATTATAAACGTGGAATTTGCCGAAACCTACACAAGAACACCGTCAAAGCAACATTTAAAACCTCCTTGGTCAAAGTTAAATGCCACTTGCATTGAGCCCTTAGGCCACACCAAGTAAATTTTATGGATGACGTCCGCGCGCGCATTGATTTTGGCCTGTTCCTAGAAAAAAAAACCAAGAAATTCCGCTTCCTGTAACTATGACCAAAGAGTCACGACAGTGCTGCAAATCGTTAGATTGACGTGAAACCCGTAACGCGAAATGGGTAAAGAGCACATGCTTTGTTTCTGCAGGCCTGCAAAAATGTGATGAAAGAAACAGGACAGGATGACAAATGCTGTTCCACCTGATTTATTGCTGTTTTGATGATGAATAAAAGACTTCTTGCTTGTTACACTGTGTCACCTCATTCAATTTGTGTCCTAACATTTGTCGTCTCTTAGTATATTTCTAATCTAGGCATCTTGTTTTTTAGGGC